CACCCTGTGCGCAGCGTCCTTGAACCAGTGACAGTCACGGGGCAGGCATCGGTACTAGCCCCGCCTCTGCGCAGGCCCCCTGCCTAGCAGCACACAGCACCCACGTCTCCAGGCCCTGCCACTACCCCTCACCGTGCTGCACTCAACACAGAACAAGAGGCAAGCCAAGCCTGATGGCTGCTCCGCTGACCCCACGGGCTGCTTCCTGAGCTCCTGCCAGCGCATGGCGCTGTGGCCTCCCCGAGTTATACAGGCAGACGTGCGTGAGTGAGAGCCATCGGCAGCTCAGGAGGGCTCGTTCCTCACCAGGAACCCTTTCTAAGCTCCTTTTCTTCATACAAATGATATGCGAACCTTTGGAAAACATTGTTCAAAACAAAGGGCTGAGGCCTGAAGGTCCCCTACCCGCCCGTGCCACCTGGCACACACCGTCACAGGGAGAGGACCCACCATCCTCCTTCCGAGCAGTGTGTGCACAGGGGTGCGTGCACCCCAGCCCCGCCCAGACCGCGCCACCTCCTGGTGACACTCACCCTCACGACGCGGGCTGTGCTGATACTCTGATCACCGAGCACCTGGTGATGCGCCGATTCCACTCCTCCAGCTCCACTGTAGGGAGTGGGTGCAAGGGCCGCGCGGGGCGACAGCATACAGACTGAGAGACACGGAGACCCCAGCACCTCAGCCGACCGAGGGCTCCAAGGGCCAGACTCAACGGAGCTTTCCCGTTCTCTCGGGGAACGGGAACCTCTTCTCACAGAAGCCCTCCGGACGCACGGGGTTTGCTGGCTGCCCACCGTGTGCAGCTAGCCAGAGGCAGCGGCGGTGGCAGCTGCTGTCTCCCCCCGCAGCGGTGGTGGCTTCCTCTAGTTCCAGGGTGGGAGGGCCCGCACGGCTCTGACCCAGAAGCTGCTCCTGCTGCGGGCCTGGGGTGGGACGCCGACCACCAGGCACCACGTCCACACTGCCCTCCGAGCAAACCGGAAAGGCGCGCCCCTCTTTCGAACTGCTGCGCCCCCATTCGGCTTCAACTTGGCAACTGCAGGCTGGTACCTCCTGTCTTGAAAGCCCCAAGGGCCAGGCCTGTGGTGGAGGCGCAGGGTGGGGCTGCCGCACCACACCACGCGCGAGCAGAGGCGTGTGTCCGTCAAGGGGAAGACCAGCGTGGTGTCTGTTAGCTGGCTCTAGGAGGAGGATGGGAACAAAACCAACTACAGACAGGCTTAGGGTTCCTGAAACGTCATCTGTTTTAATTATTATTTAAAAGCACAAGGGAATCTCAATAAAAAAAAACAACACATAACATGACACACATTCATGATCCTGCGGGTCAAACTCTTCAATGGACGTGTCAACGACAACATAAAACACACATGCCCCGTGGTGCACACAGAAGCACATTCCAGTTGTAAAAGCAGCTCCTTCGAGGCTCAGCACGGACACCTGGCCCTCTACTCCCGGGAGCTCCCTGGGACCGGCAGCCTCCCACCAGCCAGCGCAGCCTGGGGAGCCAGGCAGGTGGGTGCCCAGGGCCTCCAGGGGCCTAATGGCGCCCCACAGACTCTGCTGAGATCATGGACCCTGGGGCGGGGTCTGTCCTGCGTTTGCGTGGGAGACCGAGGAGTGCGCACAGAATGCGTCCTCGAACACCGAGTGGAGACAGTTCGCCCGGGAGCTGCAGGGCGCGGGAACCTGGCGCGGGCAGGCGTGCACTGTGGGATGGAGTGGGGGTGCACTTTCCCAGCTGACGTGCTCTCGAGGGGAGGAGATGGGCTCTGAATACCTGATGCTGCTGCGTCCATCGGGGACCCGCAGTGCCGTCGGTCGGGCCGCAGGCTGGACAGTGCTGGTAAGCTGCTCTGTGCGGTTTCTAGGGCGGTCTTCCACTAGCCCTAGGGGCGGCCTGGCACCCTCAGTCCTGCTTCCCAAAGCAGTATCCCCTCTGCGTCTCCGGCTGGCTGGAGCCCCTGCCCCTGAGGCCTGATGGCCTTCCTAGGAGTGAGGACGTGCTTCTGAGTACAAGAGCCCTTCGGCTGAGATGGCGTCTCCAAGGCCCACGGTTCGAAGGGGGTCTCTACACACCAGCACCGGCGTGAAGTGGAAAGACACGCCCTCCCTCTGCCACTGTACCACCGGCTCGTTTGGGTTTAACACGATCCTGGAGGCGGCCTCCAAACGGGAAGTCAGGAATTCACGGGGTGCCCGCAGGGACACCCGGCCGGCGTCTATGGCTTCTGTGGGCCGGCGCC